ATTCCCCACCCATCCATCCATCCTTCATCTATTCATTCATCCATCCATCCGTCCTTCATCTGTCCATTCATCCATCCACTTGTCCATCCATCCTCCATCTATCCTTTCATCCATCCACCCATCCATCCATCCATCCTCCATCCACCTATCCATCCATCCATCCACCCATCCATCCATCCATCCGTCCATCCTTCATACTTCCATCTGCTCGTGTATTCACCAGCCCAGCCATCAAGGCTTTCACTTGTCCACTTGTTCACTTACCCTTCCTTCTGTCCATCCATCCTCCATCCCTCTCACCTCTGCCATTCTTGTGTCCCCAGGGTACATAACCATGAACAGGGAATTCATTAATCAACGTTTCTGCCACTTGCCTGATCATCACCTTCAGGCCAGAACTTCTTTTCTCTGTCTTCTTAGTGCCTGGCCTTGTGCTTTGCCCAGAAGAGTTGCTAACAAATGATTGAATGATTGAATGAATGATGGGTTTGTTTGGTGGCCACCCCTTCACAACCAGACCTAGCCCTTTGAGGGCTGAGCAGGCCATGCCCTCTCTGTGCCCTGCCCAGAACCTGTCCCTGAGCAGCCTTAGGCAGTGTGGGAGCTGGAGCCCAGAGCTTGGGCCATGTCCCGAGCTTCCAGTCCTCAGCATCCCTCCATCTTCTGTCCTCATGCTGAGGCCATTGTTCCACCTGCCATGTCCAGCCTCTATCACCCTAGCTATGGCTGTCTCCTGGACCCTTATGGCCATAACCCTTCTCTGTGCCCAGAGGGTCTGCAGGAGCCCAATGAGGGTGTCCCAGTGAGTCAGTGGTGTCCTTTGTGCAGCTGGGCCTTGGCAGCCCTGGGCTGGTACAGTGGAAGCCCTGCTGTGCCCCTTTACAGGGGTCTACAGCCTTCCTGGCTCAGGGCCAGATGCCCGGGATGCCCGGGTTGCTTCCGGGACCAGCAGCCCAGTCTTTTCTGTCCTTGTGGACCACATGGGCCCACTGCAGGCCTGTCCTGGGCACTTCATGGAGTGGGAATTGAAACCACAGAGGTGGTCCCAGTATTGAGGTTAAACTCTTGGCCTCTGGAGTCAGGTGCACCTGGCTGGAATCCCAGCTCTCCGCCTACCTCGAGCAAGTCTTCTTGGAGCCTTCGTTGTTGCATCTGTCAGGTGTCATCTTACTCCTCCCCTTGTCAGTGAGAGGATGAACGAGGTGATCCTTGTCAAGCACTTACAACAGTGCCCAGTGATGCACTCAGGGTTGCCGCCCCCATTGCTAATTGTCATGCTTCAGCAGGTCAGAGGAGGAAGCTGGGGCCCAGGAAGGGCAGCCGCAGGCATACACACAGCCAGGACTGGACACCTTTGCTCTGATCATTCCCCATGTGAGCCCTGGGCTTCGTGCTGCCCTGAATGTGACCCAGACCCATCAGCCTTGGCTTGAATCAACCCCACCTCTGTCACTATGATGTAGGATTGGCGGAAATCCATGCATGGGGATCAGGATGCCCATTGTCTACAGGCTAACAGGGCTGAGGAACTCTGAGGAAATGAGCCCACACCCCAGGGTGCGGTGTTCCCTGGGCATCATGGTGGGTCCAGCAGATACCTGCATGTCCGTCAGGACAAGGCAGGGCAAATGAGTAGAGGCTGGACCAGGCCAGGGCAGATTAACCACCCAGACAGACTGGGCAGCCTCCCCAGGCCAGTGCAGCAGACTCAGTCCAGTCCACGGAAACACCACTTGCTCAGATTGTCTCTAAAGGGGCTGGTTGAGTCCTGATGTGAAGGCCAGGTTAGTACCCAGAAGAATCTGGTTCAAGGTAAAGTTTGGGAGGAAGTTTGGCTTCAGGGGTCCCAGGAAGTGGGTGGGAGGGGAGCAGGTGGGCAACAGGGCAGGCAGGGTCCAGAGCCAGAGATATGTGTTCCCTCCTCCTGGGAGGAACCTACTGATGAGGGTGAGCTGAGCCTGCATCCTGATGGTGCTGCCCAGCTCGTGGCATGCTCAGAGGGGCCCTGGGCACAGGTCTGTCCACTGCCCGCCTGCAGGGCTGAGTCTTCACAGGGCTGGACCGATGGCCATTGTGGCCCCAACTGCAGGTGCTGGCCAGGACTGATTGGACTGGAGCTTAATGTAAACACCCCCAATATGAAATACGTTCCTCAGACATGGCTTCATGCAATTGCTCTCTCGGGGGACTTGGCTGATGGATTTGGTGGGAAAGGCAGAGGCCCTGGGCTGGTGTGGAGCTTGAAGGACCATGTGCCTTTCCCAGGACTGTTATACAAAGGGCTTCCCCAGGCAGCTCAGCCCCAGGCGGCTGATGGATTTGGTGGGAAAGGCAGAGGCCCTGGGCTGGTGTGGAGCTTGAGGGACCATGTGCCTTTCCCAGGACTGTTATACAAAGGGCTTCCCCAGGCAGCTCAGCCCCAGGAGCCTTCTCTCCCACCCTCACCTGCTCTGCACTGCAGCCCTGGGAGGTGGGTTTATCCTGGAACGTGGAGGCACAGAGACCTGGTGCTGCTGAGGGTGACACAGCCGGGCAAAGCCTGAGTCAGAGTTGTGATCTGATGGAATGGGTCCCTTTGTTTGGGGCCCTCTCTGTTGCTAGGGAAGGTCCTCACTGATGTCACTGAGGTCAGGGGTCTGAAAACAATTCAACACTTTAGCAAGAGCTTCCCTGTGGGCCTGGCCCTGTCCTATTGCAGGGAACTCAGTGCTGAAGACTTGGGCTGGGCTTGGATGGGTTCATTCTTATTGGTGGAGGTCTGTTCATTCATTCGTTCATCCATCCATCCATCCATCCATCCATCCATCCATCCATCCATCCATCTGTACATTTGTCCATCTGTTCATCCAGCCATCCACCAGTCTATCCATCTGTCTTCTGTCCATCTGTTCATCCATCCATAACACCCACCCACCCATCCACCCACCTGCCCACTCATTCATCCATCCATCCATCCGTCCATCCGTCCATTCATTCAGCCATCCACCAGTCCATCCGTCTATACATCCGTTTGTCTGTCCATCCATCTACCCGCCCTCCCATCCCTCCCCCGCCACTCATCCATCATCCTTCATCCACCCTTGCTGTCTGCTGGGCACACAGAGGACCTGGTGAGGACCTGCACTGGTTTCCCAGGGCCCGTGGTCTCAGACACTGGCTCAGGCCGAGCTGGCTCTGTCTTGAGTGCCAATCCCCACCCCTAGTTTCAGAGGCAGAGGTGGCAGGCCAGGAGGCTCTGTCGCTGGGCACAGAGGCTGAACTGCCCAACAGCCTGCCAGGCGACGACCAGGATGAGTGCCTGCTCCTCCCAGGGGAGCTGTGCCAGCACCTCTGCATCAACACCGTGGGCTCCTACCGCTGCGCCTGCTTTCCTGGCTTCTCCCTGCAAGACGATGGCCGCACTTGCCGCCCAGGTGAGAACCCTGGGCAAGGGCTGGACAGGGGCTGATCTCACTCATGGAGCATGGTGTTCCTGGAGTGGGGACTATGGGGTACTTCATCTCCCGCCACCCCACACGTTGGAACTTGCAGGAGCCAGAGGTCTCCAGCAATGGGGACTTGCAAGGCCAGGCAGACAGCCTTCCCTCCTGGATCTCCATCTGCCCCTGCCCCCAGATTCCAGCTCAGGGGTGAGCTCAGGCTGCAGAGGCTCTCACCAAAACCTAGCTGTGTCCCCAGTGCTGGGCCTGTGGTGGTCAGACCCCTGGTCCAGAAGGGCCGTCTCCCTGCCAGCTGTCCAGGGACTGATCCATTTCCAGTCTGGACATTCTTTCTCCTCCTTCCCTCTGTCTCTCTTCCTTTCCCTCCACCCCTCTCTGCCCCAAGTAGCTGAGGTTATTACCTTCACCCTGGACCTCAGTTTCTACTCCTATGAAATGAGGTGGGGGGATAAATGTCATTGCCTGGTGTGGTACCCAGGTGTGTGAAGGGCTTGTGCCTGTTAGTCCCTGAGGCTTGGCAGAGGACACAAGACTGCCCCCTCCTGTTTGCTCCGTCTGTGACAGATGGTGACCACTCACAGCCGGAGGCTGCACAGGAGTCTGCACTGAGGCCAGAATCTGCCCAAGTGGCCGCCAACACCATCCCACTGCCACCACCACAGCCCAACACTTGCAAAGGTAAGCAGAGGGGGAGATGTCCCTGGGCAGGGCCCCTGGGGCCATAGGGTGGGGCTGGGCTGCTTGCAGGTGATGAGTTCTCCCTGCTGGGCATGTGCAGGATGGCCCCTGCCGAAGGGGTGCTTCTGCTTTCAGGGTTGGTGGGGCCTGTCAGAGTTGAGTAGCTGAGGAAGGAGATGGGGGGAGCCTGGGGCGAGTGGAGAGTGAGTGTGGCCCCAAGCAAACCAATTCGTTGCTTTTTGTCTCTGTTGCTGTAAAATTGAGACGGTAAAATCCTTGCTTGCTGAGCTGTCGTGGAGGCGGCGTTCAGTAAAGCCTAGAAAGTTCTTTCGTTGTTCTTCTCCCTTAACACCCTTCCCCCTTTCACTTTTCTTTATCTCTCTACTTTCTGTCTCTTCCTCCTTCTCTGTCTCCTCCTCACTGTCACTACTGTCACTTGAGGGACAGGTTGGGATCTGAGTGGTGGTGGAGGGAGACCCAGAACATCATCCCTGACACCAGTTGGTGCTGGAACCAACCTAACGGGTGCATCTATGGAAGGACCAGGAGTGGGGTTCCTTGTCTCCTGGTCTGTCTGCCTCCCTGGGCCTCTGTGTCTGCCTCTGACCACTAAGTCAGAGCCGGTGGCAGGTGGGGGGGGGGGGCGAGGCAGTGTGGGCCAAGGCCATGGCCTGGCTGTCTCTGATTTCTGTGCGGTTTCCTCCCAGACAATGGGCCCTGCAAGCAGGTGTGCAACGTCATCGGGGGCTCGGCCATGTGCTCCTGCTTTCCTGGCTATGCCATCATGGCAGATGGCGTGTCCTGTGAAGGTGAGTACCTCGGGGCCTCCCTCCAACCTGGGCACACCTGACTTGGCCAGGGGTGGGGTGGTGTGGCCAGACTGAAAACTTGCTGTGTTTATGAGGGGCCGATGTGGCCGTGGTGAGGAGCCATCGGTAGAGCAGCTCACGCAGTTGCTCTCTCTCTGGTCACCATGCAGGAGCAGATGCCCTCCATCTGGGCCACCGCACTGCCCCACAGCTTCTGGGCCTGAGCACCTTCCGCACTGTTGCTCTGCATTTCCTAGAGCGGTGCTCCTAAACCTGAGTGTGCACCAGGCCCCTTGCAGAGCACAGAATCCCCAGAGATCCTGATGAAGTAGGTCCAGGGTGGTCCCGGGGATGCTGATGCTACTGGTCTGTGGACCACTCTCAACTCACTCTGTCCGAAGTTGGTCTGTGACCACCATGTCCTCATCCGAGGGTGGAGAAAGGGAAAGAGGGAGTGATGCCCAATTCTTTCCAGGGCATCACCAGAAGGGGCGTCCAGCCCTCCTGCTTGCCTCCAGTGGGGCATGGGAGGGAGGCTGGAGAGGACCCTCGCCGCATCTGTGACTAGAGCGGAGGAGGGGGGATGGAGATCGGCAGCTATTCGCTGCCTCCACCATTCACAAAAGGGCCGAGGGGGTCCACTAAGCACATCCCTTACAGCCCGGCAGCCTCCTAGGTCTGGGTCTTGTCTCGGTGGGGCCTCTGTGGGCCAGGACCACACAGTGAATGATGCCCCCAGAAGCAGCCTGAGAGGTTCAGAGACTCCACATCCTCATGTCTGGAGGCAGGACAGACGGAGAATGCAGAGTCTAGGAAGTATTTCAGTTCAGGTTCAAGTTGAGGAGACACGGCCCTGGTGGGTGTGCGGTGATAACAGGGTGAAGTCTGTGTGGGAGAATACCCACATCCCCCCCCATGTCCAGCCCCTCAGCTGAGACTATTCCACTGTGGACAGAAACTATCCTACAAGGCCAGAGAGGTCAGCAGACTTGCCCAGGGAGCACAGCGTGGCCATGACAGCAGACTTTTCTCTCACATGGTGGGGGCAGATCTCGGGTCCAGGGGGTGCTGTGTCCTCTGGGCTTTGTCCCCCTCTCTGAAGACACGAGGAATGCATCTGTCCTGGTCAGGATTCCTTCTGGCCAGCCCTCAAGTGGCACCTGGGGCCGAGGGCTGGTGCAACTCTTCCTCTGCCAGCTGTGTGGCCTGGCCCGTGTCTGTGTCTCTCCAGGCCTCCCTTCCTCCTCTGGAGGGCCCCTGGCAGTACAGCCTGTGGGGTCCAGGCCAGAAGTTGCAAGCAGGCATCCAGAGGGTGCAGCCTGCCCTGCAGAAGAGACCCGCCGAAATCATCATGAGTTACACATCATGACAAACTCAAGAATTCTTAAAACATTCTCAGATTTCAGGTTTCTCTTGAAACTTCGTATAGTCTGTCCACGAAGGGCCAACACCCCCGGCCCTTTTGGACAGCGTGCAGGCCCCACCATGCCTGTAGAGCCCCCATGGCCCTTCTCCTGTTTGTATTGCATACTTGGATCCCTGACCGCTGGGGTTTGCAACCCCTTGGCTGCTGTGGAAGTGGGGCATGTACAGAGAGTGGGTGAGAGGCAGCCTCTGGTCTTGCCCTGCTGTTTGACCATGGACAGGCTGCCCACCCTCTCTGAGTCTCACCTCCGTCTGTCCTTACTGGAGCAGCGGGTCCCAGCTCCGATGTCTTTTGGCTCTGCAAACTCAGACTTGGGCTGAGGCCCAGCTGTACCTCTGACAGGCTGGGAGGCCCTGGGCAGGTCCCTGCCCCTCTCCAGGTCTTAGCTGCCCCCTTTGTCATGAGATGCTTCATAGCAGGCCACGCCTCTCTAACAGCCCTTCTGTTTTTCCCTCCGTGGTTGCCACTAGACCGGGACGAGTGCCTGATGGGCACTCATGATTGTAGCCGGCAACAGTTCTGTGTGAACACCCTGGGATCCTTCTATTGTGTCAGCCACACAGTGCTCTGTGCCGAGGGCTTTATCCTCAATGCACACAGGAAGTGCGTGGGTAAGCCAGAGCCCTGCCTGTGCCCACCGCCACGGCCCTCTGCTCTGCTCCACGCCAAACCCGCCACACTGTAGCCACATGCCAAAGGGACTGCCCTTTGCATGTGAGCTCTCAGCACCCAAGCACCCCCATGCTCTGTGTCATGCTCGCGTGTCCTGGTGTCCTGTCCCGCTTACCCGCCGGCTCCACTGAGCAGCTGCTTTCCCCAAGGATGGGCCTGCGAGTCAGAAAACTGTAACTAGACGTGGGCCCTGGCTGGGTCACTGACCCACCTGGGCTGCAGGAAAACAGGAGACCAGATGTGCAGGCAGCAGGATAGTGTTTGGGGTCTGCAAGCAAGGAGGCCTGGGTTCCAAGAAAGACCCCCTAGTGGCTGTGTGGCCTTGGAAAAGTGACGTGTCTTCTGTCAGCCACAGTTTCCTTTTTTTGTACAAAGGCGGCTATTGATCCTCCTTTGACGATTAGTGACATGTGTACAGTGTAGCACAGAGCCTGGGGCACTGTGAGCATGTTATGTCAGCTGCTTAGAGTATCCTTAGATGTATCCAGAAGCAAATGCACAGAGGCTGGGGTCTGGCAGACCTGTCTTTGCACCCCAGCTTAGCATTTGTTTGCTCTGTGACCCTGAGCAGTGGAGCAATCCTCTCTGAGCCTCCATTTCCTCTGCTCTAACTGCAGGGCCAGAAGGCCAGGCAAGGTCTTGTAGCCAGGGCCCAGCCTGCACATACCATCTCTTCCCTCTGTCTCTCTGTGCCCCTGTAGGCCAGGGGCTGGGCCACCGGGAGAGCTCTGGGCAGCGAGGAGGGTGGACTTGATGCTCTCGTGTCTGGGGTGTCTAATGTTTTCACAGAGGAAATGTAAACCCTTGTTCTCCTGCAGTTCATGGTCCTAGACAGAGATAGACCCAAAGTATCAGGGACTCAGGGCAGACTGTGGTAAGTGCCACAAGAGACAAGGGCGCAGAGACAGGTCATTCCAACTGGGGGCATCTGGATGCACTTTCTGGAGAAGGTGGAATTTGCACTGGCCTCCAAGGAGGGATGGGACTTGGAAATCGGGACAGGCATGCAGGGTAGAAGGGACACGTTGAACAAAGGTGTGGAGGTAGGAACAGCAGAGTGCACTTCCAACTGGGGGCATCTGGATGCACTTTCTGGAGAAGGTGGAATTTGCACTGGCCTCCAAGGAGGGATGGGACTTGGAAATCGGGATAGGCATGCAGGGTAGAAGGGACACGTTGAACAAAGGTGTGGAGGTAGGAACAGCAGAGTGCATTCAGGGCACGTGACCAGAGCCCCGTCTGTCTTCTGTGTGCTTGGGGACCATGTCCAGCCTGGACATGTCCCCTTCCTCACCCTCCACTGCAGGGCAGATGGGCCCACGGTGCTGGGCTGAGTGGCCACTGCAGACATGTTTGCCCCAGGCCTCCGCCGTGGGCACAACATGTGCCCTCCTGAACCTGCTGGCGGCGGGCTGGGCAGCTCTTCCCATGGGGACGGGTCTGTGTGTGCATGTCTGGGGAGGTGGATCCCCTTCCAGGACACCTTACCATGCCCGAGTGTGCAGGCTCCCCTGGTTGCCTGGAGATGAGACCTCATGCTAAAAGGGGGGCCCAAGGAAAAGGGTTCCGGGAATACAGAGCCAAGGAACATTCCATTCAGCAAAATTTATGAGCTCACATTCCCACCGTTTCATCTCGTCCTCTCCTTGTTCGTCCTGCACAGACTTGCAGTGCGCTCTGCGTCCTGTCCCTCTCACTCACGTGTTCATTGTATCACCTGTTAGTACCTACTGTGCTGTCTTCCCATCATTTATGCACCTGCCAGCGTCGCCTGGTGTCTTCTGCTGCTCATTCGTATGTTCCAGGCCTGTGTGTTAACCCAGGCAGGTGAGACGGGGGGCTCCTGCTAGAAGGGAGTGTGGTCTCCACGGTTCAAATCCTGCTCTGCCACTGTCTGGGCCTAAGACCTGAAACAAGTCAGTTACTCTCTCTGAGCCTCAGTTTCCTTATCTGTGGATGGGATAATAGTGCCCACCCAAAGGGTCATTGTGGAGATTAGATGAGTTAGTCCTTGTAGAGAACTTGCTAGTGTTTTGATGTCATTATTGATTCAACAAATGTGCTATACTGTGGCAACCCGTGGAGGTCGTGAGCTCCCCGTTACTGGATTTATGTGAGCCAAAGGGGGACAGTATAGGGTGTGACCTCTGCCAGGGGCTCCTCTGTGCTTTACCACTTTGTGCCCTGCACTTTGATGACTGGCCCCTGAAAAAAGTGTTCCAGGTAGGCTGGGCTCCAGGCAGAGGGGAGGCGAGCAGGCCCTGGCTCTGGGGCCCGCCCTGAAGCAGCGCTTGAACGTGGGGAAAGGGCACGGCTCCGGCTTTTGTTCTTGCTGCTGCCAAATGCTGGCCGTGTGACTTTTGTCCAGTCACATCACTTCTGGGAGACCTGTATTTCCTCATCTGTAAAATTGGACCAGCCGTCTCTGCATTGCAGGACGATGGAATGGCGCAGTCCCTATAAACTGCCTGGCCCTGGTGCGCCTGTCAGTGGTGGCTGCTGTTGTGTGTTACTGTGATTCCCCCAGGCTGTGGGAGGCTCCCGGGGCTGTGGTGTTTCTGGGGTCCTGGGAACTTGTCTCCCTTCGTTAACCCAGCCTGTAAATGAGAAGTCTTTCTCTTGCCGGGCCAAGCCTTGCTTAGAACTCTCCCTTCCCCATCTCCACGTCCCCACCCAAACCTGGCAGGTATACCATTTGGTTCACCTGGTAGTTTGGCAGGGTCGCTTTCCCCACAGTCCTGCCCCCTTGGTCCCCTAGTCGTCCTTGTAGACTCAGCTCAAATGTCACCACCCCTAGAAGCAACTGAGCCCCTGGAGACTGTGCCTTTTCTCACCCCGGGGTCTCCACCTGCCTGACCTGTCTCCACCGCTGGATGGCCGCTCCTTGAGGGCAGAGCTGTGGCTGCCACACCTGCTTGACCACAGGAGCCTAGCACAGAAGAGCTGCTAGTGATTGTGTGTCAATGGATGGATTACCGGATGAATGGTGCACCTGCCCTGCCAGATGGAGCTTCGAGGAGGCAGGACCTGGGTCACTCCTCCACACCTGTCCTCAGCCCTGGCCTGGGGCGTTCTGGGAGGTGGAAACCTCAGTGGTCCTACTCTGGCCTTCCTGATGCTATGCCTCCCTCTGTTTTGTGGCCTTGTTCCCACCTCAACAGCTTATCCCTTGTGTCTCTCAAGAGTCATTCCTTGACCTCTTCTCTGTGTGCCCTCTCCTCCCAGGTGACCTCAGCTATATGACCTCTCCCAAGTTAGTGTCTCTACTTAGGCCCCTTTTGTGAACTCAGAGGCATGTCTCCGGCTGCCTCTTGACTCTTGAACTCACATGGTCACTGGGGCTCCTGCCTTCCCCTGCCAGCCTGCTCCTCTCAGCTGTCCCATCCCAGGTGCAGAGCCGAGATCTGCGCAGCTGCTTGGCCAAAAGCTTTGTAGACCTCTTGGTTTCTCTTCCTCTCTCACCGTCATCTCATCCATCTTTGGATCTCATTGGTTCCACCTTCACAATATTTCCAGAATGCACCTGCTTCTCCTTGCCTTTATGGATGGTGGTCCCAGCTACCACCATCTCCTGCCTGCATTAGTCTAACAGCCTCCATCTTAAGCCCCCCACCCCAGTTTGTTCTCCACTCTCAGCCAGGGCACCCTGCTAAAAATAAATCAGACCCTCTCTTCTCTGCTAGGAACCCTCTATGGCTCCCACCTTCCCTCCCAACCTGACTCCATCTGCTCCCCCTCTTCTTTCTTCTCTACCCCACAACCACACTCGCCTCCTGGCCAGCCCTAAGGCTTCCTCCTTAGGCCCCCACATCCCTATGCTGTGTGCCTGGACCATCTGCTCAGCTCATTCTGTCACTTCTTCAAATCCTTGCTCAAATGTCCTCTTCTCTGGGAATCTTTCCCCTTACTTAAAATTGTGCATGCCCCTGCTGCACCTGGGCACGCCTCATTTCCTTTGTTCTGCTCTGTTTTGTGCATAGCACTTGTGACCATTCTCCATATCATGTTTGTTTATGTATCTGTCGATGTGTCTCCTTCCCTTGAGTGTCTACTCCGCAAGGGCAGGGATTTCTGTCTGTCTTGTTCACTGATGTATCCCTGGTGCCAAGAACAGTGCTTGGTGCATAGTGAGCGCTCAATAAATCTTTGTTGAATGAAGGGATACATGAATAAGGGGACATCAGCCACGTACCACTCTGGGTAGTGAGCACCTTGAGGGCAGGACCCAGCGCACCCTCCCTCCTGGTGACCTGAGGTCCCCTGGCTGCCACTGTCCTGGGAGCACCCTGCAGCTCCTGACACCCTCACTGTCCCCGCAGACATTAACGAGTGTGTGACGGACCTGCACACGTGCAGCCGGGGCGAGCACTGCATAAACACAATGGGCTCCTTCCGCTGCTACAAGGCGCTCACCTGCAAGCCTGGCTATATCCTCAAGGATGGCGAGTGCACAGGTGAGAGGGGCAGGCGGGGGTGGGGGTGGGGGCCCTCCTGCCCTGAGCCAGGACGCCCATGTCATGCCCCGCCCCATGCCCAGCCCCTCCCGTGGCTGCCCAGACAGGTCCTTCTCCCTTCTGGTGAGCTCCCATCACTTGGGTTTCCTGCACCTGGGAAGAGCCTGCCGTGGTGGTGTTTGGGACAGAAAAAGGGGAGTCTGAGACTGGGTCGGGGGAGGCCAGGGTCTGCCCTGGCTTTGCTGCCACTTGCTGGTGTTCTGGGTGCTGGTTTTTCCCTGTGCCATGTCTCAGTTCCCCCATGCGTACATTGGGGTAGAGCCTCATGGAGGGGTCACTTCTGCCCTTTCACTGGACAATTTTTGCCTTCTAAGAAGAAGGAGAATGTTTATTCAACCTTTTCAGCAAATACTTCCTGAGCTACCTTTCTGTGCCTGGCAGGGTTCTGGGTACCAGGGACACAGGGTGGGGTGTGTTCTCCTTTCTCTGACCTCATGGTGGGAGAGATGGGGTGCACGCAGCAAACAGGGAGATGGTAGAGTGGCCATGGGCTGGGTGCTACTCTAGGTGGGGGGTCCGAGGAGGCCCCCCAAGGAGGTGATGTCAGAGTTGAGACCTGATTGATGAGAGTCTCTTGGGAAGGGAGTTCAGGTAGAGGGAACGGCAGGTGCGGAGGCCCACTAGATGTGGGGAGGAAGGAATCTTAGCATGTTCATAAAACAGAAAGTATCAGGGGTTGGAGCCTTCCTACTACCAATGCCACCTCCCAAAAAGTGTCAACACAAGACTTTACCTTGGGATTCAAGCAGTTGTCTCCTGTCTGTCCCTGGCATATGTGGGACCATGGTTAAGAGCGCAGGCTTGGGAGCCAGACCATGTGGGTTCTGGTCCCAGCCCAATGCTCCCTAGCTATGGAGACTTGTCCTTGCCTCAGTTTCCCCCTTCATAAGTTGAGGCTAGTCATAGGTTGTTGTGATGATTAAGTAGATAAATACAAGTGCTCCTCAACTTATGATGGTGTTACATACCAATAAACCCATCATAACTTGAAAATATTGTAAGTCGAAAATGCATTTAATACACTTGACCTACCAAACGAACATCATAGCTTAGCCTAGCCTACCTTAAACGTGCTCAAAAGAAACTTACTTTAGCCTACAGTTGGGCAGAATGATTTAATACAAAGCCTATTTTATAATAAAGTGTTGAATATCTCATGTAATTTGTTGACTACTGCACTGAAAGTGAAAAACAGAATGGTCGTACGTGAACTTGAAGTACAGTTTCTACTGAATGCGTATGGCTTTTGCTCTGTGAAGTTGAAAAATCCTCAGCCTGGGACTGTAAACCTCAGAGTGCTTAGAACAGTGCCTGGGACCAAGGAGAAGCTCAGTAAATGTGGTTGTATCATTATTGCTACTGGGACGTGGGCCACACCAGCGGCGTGATTCCTCCAGCTTCCTGGGATGCAGAAGACCGTTGTGACTGTCAAGGTCACAGTGGTCAGAGGGAAGGGATGTGTGGGCAGGGCTGCCCACCCCTGCGCCCCTGACTCCCTGTCCTCTGTGTGGCAGACATGGACGAGTGTGCAATGGGAACGCACAACTGCCAGGCAGGCTTCTCATGCCAGAACACCAAGGGCTCCTTCTACTGCCAGGCCCGGCAGCGCTGCATGCAGGGCTTCCTGCAGGACCCCGAGGGCAACTGCGTGGGTGAGTGGGCACTGCAGAGGCTCTTCAGAAGGCATCGTGGGGGGCTCTGTCTGAGGGCTTTAGAGACCAGCTAGGCCTGCCTGTCCTTTCCACGCCTCCAGCCTCAGTGTTCCTACCTGTGAATGAGCACACCCAGGGCCCAACCGCAGCAGGCACTTGCAAAGTCATGGCTCGTCCTTATTACCCTGAGTGGTCTGAGCTTGGCCAGCTTATTTCTCCCGTGACCTCAGTTTACCCATCTGTGGGGTTGGACTGGATGAATGCACGTCAGATTGTGTTTTAGCCAAGCCAGCAGGAAGAACTATCTTTTATATCGTGACTTGGTACATAGACACACATCTAGAGACAACTAGAACATAAATTTCACAGAACAGTGTAGGCATGTGCTACTCACTGAAATTTTCCGTTTTCAAAGAATGCTAGTGAGACCTTCCAGAATGATTCCGTGCTGTGCTCATGGGTTGAGATTTGCAATTGGACAGATATCAGCCTAGTTGTCTCCAAGTGGGTCTGAGATCCCACACTGACCCCGCCCCTTTTAACCCCTTCAAAAAACCGCTGGCCTGGCCAGGAAGCCCGGACACCTCACCTCACCAGAGGCTGCCGACCCTGCCCCGCCCAGAGGCAGGGCAGCAGCAGCCCTGGACAGACTGCATCTGGGGCAGGGACCGTCAAGGCCATGCTCCACCCTGGGCATGAACTTGAAGGGGAGAGGTGGAAGGGCAGGCACTGTGCGAGGCCAGCTGCTGTGGTGGACAGGACAGGGGTGTGCTGGACCCAGTCCTGTTACACACCCCCTTCACAATGATAGCTTGTGGGATGGGCATCCCCATACGGGGCAGAGACTGAGGTGCCAAGGGGGCTTTGACTTGCTATGTCTGAATGCTTTCTCAAGACTTTGGGGATTTCCCTGGCCAGTCTGGGAGCTAGAGCCTTCACAATGATAGCTTGTGGGGTGGGCATCCCCATACGGGGCAGAGACTGAGGTGCCAAGGGGGCTTTGACTTTCTATGTCTGAATGCTTTCTCAAGACTTTGGGGATTTCCCTGGCCAGTCTGGGAGCTAGAGCCCTCCCTGAGGCATCCCTTTAACAGCTCATCATTCTGTGATCCCATCAGTGTCACAGGACTCAGAGGACACCTCAGGACCCTGCAAGGACCCCGTGGTCTGCCCTGGGGCCACCCCTCCCAGCCAGGGTCAGGTCAAGGTGGGGAGGGGTTTGTCCGACTTCAGTCAGCTCCTCAGTGATTCATTCACAGACAGTATTTCCTGAGCACCTACTATGTGCCAGGGATGTTGAAGAGCTACAGCAGTTTCACAAGACAGTTTAGCGGGGGAGAAACTAACTAAGCAAACACATTTATAAAAGTAGCAGTCACTCATGGTGCTTTGATAAATAATAAAACGTGTAGGGGATTAAAACTTAAGGGAGAGTTTCCTCTACCTAGATTAGTCCTGGAGGGCCTCCATGAGGAGGTGACATTGGGGCAGGTGCCTGAGGAAGTGAGGAAGCCAGACAGGAAAGTACAAGAAGGCAGAGTGCCAGGGGAGGGGGCAGCGTGTGCAAAGGTCCTGTGGGGGCTGTGCCTGGGCGTCATGGATTGGCGAGGAGGCTACCGGGGCTGGCCGTGTGTGAGGGGGACAGCTGTAGGCCCGAGTGCTGGGTGGGATGGGCAGCTTTCAGGATTGCATGTATCCTAGAACTCAGCCTTCATGCCCCCTCTGCCCCTGGCTGCTCCATCGGGGCAGATGTGAGAAGAATCCAGGAATCAGCCTGGCAGGTGCTTGGGTTCTGGGGGGACTGGCCGCCTCCCAGTGCCAGCCACCCTGTCACCCAAACCCACCTCTGCAGACATCAATGAGTGCACATCGCTGTCAGAGCCCTGTCGCCCAGGCTTCAGCTGCATCAACACAGTGGGCTCCTATACGTGTCAGAGGAACCCATTGGTCTGCGCGCGTGGCTACCGCGCCAGCGAGGATGGGACCAAGTGTGTGGGTAAGGCCAGTGCTCCGCGCCCCCCGCAGCCTTGGCCTTCCGGGTTCCCCGCCTGTGGGAGGTGCGTGCAGAGGGAGTGCCCGGGTTTAGGGTGCCCTGCTCCCCACCCCCGTAGACGTGAACGAGTGTGAGACAGGTGTGCACCGCTGTGGCGAGGGCCAGCTGTGCCACAACCTCCCCGGCTCCTACCGCTGTGACTGCAAAGCTGGCTTCCAGCGGGACGCCTTCGGCCGGACCTGCATCGGTAGGAGCGGCTGGTGGCCGGGACCCCCTTGGGAGCACCAGACAGGGCCTGCCCCCACTGTGCCCCTTAACCTCCCCACCCCAGCACACCCACTGCCTGAGTGGTGCCCACCTGCCCAGGGCCCCTCCCCCAGGCCAGCCTGCAAGCGGCTCTCTCTGCCCTGGCCTTAGCTCCTTCTCTCGGTCTCTGCCACCTTCTTTCCTTGCCTCTTGCTGTGTTTGTTGGTCCCTCTGTCCTGTCTCTTCCTCCCCACTGCCCAGGCTCCCTTTCCCATCAGGGTTTCCTGTCTTTTCTTCTGGGTCCCTCTCTCCTCCCAGCCCCCTCTTCAGCCCTGGGGGCACCTGGGGTGGAGGGAGCTGTCTTCCAGGCCATCTCTGCCCTCCCTGCGGGCCGCCCACCCTGTGCCCATGCCCGTCCACCTGCAGATGTGAACGAGTGCTGGGCCTCGCCAGGCCGCCTGTGCCAGCATACGTGTGAGAACACGCTCGGCTCCTACCGCTGTTCCTGTGCCTCCGGCTTCCTGCTGGCTGCCGACGGCAAGCACTGTGAAGGTACGCGGACGCTGGCCTGTGACCCTGGCCTCTGACCCCAGGCAGCCTGGCTTGGACACAGGCAGACAGTGCCTGGTGGGCTGGATGTCTCTCCTTGGAGTGGGTTCTGGTCCTGGTCATGACTGCAGTGAGCGGGGTTGCAGGCAGGGAGTGGAAGAGACCCATGACACAGGGTCCATGGCAACCAAGTCACTGGAAGGGGGTTGTGGCCACACAGCCTCCATGAGTGGGCACCATCGAGCATGCGGGTCCGGGGTGGCCTGATCTTCCTGGATTCCCAGAAGCCAGAAATCTCGATATTTATGTAAAATCTCCTGACCGCGGCCCATGGGCTGACATCTGTGGCCCATGTACTTACCTGTGTGGATACGCCCATGGCTGATGCAGGGTCTGTCACGCTGTTCCCACACGTGTTCGCAGTGAGGTTGGTTCAAGGAGGGGTGAGGCCATGAGGTGCTCATGAGGGCCAAGGGGCTGAGCCGGCGGGATGCAGGGTCTCCGGCCCCACGTGCCCGGCACTGTCTTTCCCAGCCCGTCCCCAGCCTGTAGGTGTTTCCCAATTCCCTGCCAGTGAGGCGAGTCTGCTGAGACCCAGGGGAGTCGTGCGCCCCTTCCCAACCACCTGGCCTGGCAGGAAAGCTGGCTCGCCATGGGTCAGGACCAGTCTGGGGGTAGGGGAGCATGACCAGGCCTGGCCACATCAGACATTTGGATGGGCCCCCAAACAGAATTGTCCCATTCACTCTTTCACTCATATGTGGAGTTTTCCATGCTGGGAGCACCCTCTCCTGCTGGTGTGTGTGGGTGGCTGTGAGGCGGGCCTCTGCCTCTCGGACAGCACTGTGAGTTCATTCACTTTTTGGTGCTTACATGGCAGGATGGTAGGGACTTGGAGATGCATCCAGCCTGGGCTCTGGCCACCCAGAAGCTAGAGCCCGGCAGAGCAGATCAGCCATTCATTCTCTTGGTCATTCATTCATTTGCATGTGCATTGTGTCATCTTTTGTGAATGAATATTGTGAGGTCCTGAGGAGTTACACGTGGGTCAGACAGTGGTTCACAAGGCCCTGTGTGATATGACTTCACCTCCTTCCATGCTCCCTTCTCACTTTGTTCCAACCTCACAGGCCTCCTCCCTGTTCCTTGAATGCACTAAGGACACTCCCACCTCAGGGCTTTTGCACATGCTGTGCCTTCTACCTGCAATGCCCTGCCCCGAGATGCCCACATGGCTCCTTCCCTCTTAGTGATTTCTTCCCTGATCATTTTATTTAAAACTGCAACCCACCCAGATGCAGTCCCTGTCCCCTTTCTCTGCTTTATTTTTCTTTGTTACACTTCCCACCTTTTGGCATCCTAATTATTTTACTTGTTTTTATGGTTCCTTCCGCTCCCCACCTCTCACCTCCCTCAACATATGCATGCATGTTAGCTTCAGGAGATGGAGATTTTGTCCATCTTGTTCATGGATCTGTCCCCAGGTCCGGCACAGGCATGGTGCATCCTTTGCAATCCACTCCTGCACTCATTCATCTACTCGCTTCCTCATCCATCCACTCCTGAACTCATTCATCCACTCATGTGCATCCACTCGTGCGCTTGTTCATACACTCTCACGCTCAGTCATCCACTCCTGCACTCATTCATTCACTCATGTGCATCCACTTGTGTGCTTGTTCATACACTCCCACGCTCAGTCATCCGCTCCTGCACTCATTCATTCACTCATGTGCATCCACTCGTGTGCTTGTTCATACACTCCCACGCTCAGTCATCCGCTCCTGCACTCATTCATCCACTCACGTGCATCCACTTGTGTGCTTGTTCATACACTCCCAGCTCAGTCATCCGCTCCTGCCGTGTGCTTGTTCATACACTCCCCGCTCAGTCATCGGCTCCTGAACTCATTCATCCATTTATGTGCATCCAGTCGTGCGCTTGTTCATCCACTCCCACGCTCAGTCATCCACTCCTGCACTCATTCATTCACTCATGTGCATCCACTTGTGTGCTTGTTCATACACTCCCAGCTCAGTCATCCGCTCCTGCACTCATTCATCCACTCATGTGCATCCACTCGTGCGCTTGTTCATACACTCCCACGCTCAGTCATCCACTCCTGCGCTCATTCATCCACTCATGTGCATCCACTCGTGCGCTTGTTCATACACTCCCAGCTCAGTCATCCGCTCCTGCACTCATTCATCCACTCATGTGCATCCACTCGTGCGCTTGTTCATACACTCCCACGCTCATCCATCCACTCCTGCACTCATTCATTCACTCATGTGCATCCACTCGTGTGCTTGTTCATCCACTCCCACGCTCAGTCATCCACTCCTGCACTCATTCATTCACTCATGTGCATCCACTCGTGCGCTTGTTCATCCACTCCCACGCTCAGTCATCCGCTCCTGCACTCATTCATCCACTCATGTCCATCCACTCGTGCGCTTGTTCATACACTCCCACGCTCAGTCATCCGCTCCTGCACTCATTCATCCACTCATGTCCATCCACTCGTGCGCTTGTTCATACACTCCCACGCTCAGTCATCCGCTCCTGCACTCATTCATCCACTCATGTCCATCCACTCGTGCGCTTGTTCATACACTCCCACGCTCAGTCATCCGCTCCTGCACTCATTCATCCACTCATGTCCATCCACTCGTGCGCTTGTTCATACACTCCCACGCTCAGTCATCCGCTCCTGCACTCATTCATCCACTCATGTCCATCCACTCGTGCGCTTGTTCATACACTCCCACGCTCAGTCATCCGCTCCTGCACTCATTCATCCACTCATGTCCATCCACTCGTGCGCTTGTTCATACACTCCCACGCTCAGTCATCCGCTCCTGCACTCATTCATCCACTCATGTCCATCCACTCGTGCGCTTGTTCATACACTCCCACGCTCAGTCATCCGCTCCTGCACTCATTCATCCACTCATGTGCATCCACTCGTGTGCTTGTTCATACACTCCCACGCTCATCCATCCGCTCCTGCACTCATTCATTCACTCATGTGCATCCTCTCATGCGCTTGTTCATACACTCCCACGCTCAGTCATCCGCTCCTGCACTCATTCATCCACTCATGTGCATCCACTTGTGCGCTTGTTCATCCACTCCCACGCTCAGTCATCCCCTCCTGCGCATCCACTTGCGGCTCATTCATCTGCTCCCGCGCTCGTTCATCTCACCCTCTCTCCCAGTGCTTGTGCCCCTTGCCCCCACCCCCATGCAGTGGCAGTCCCTCTGGGACCAGGACAGGCAGATGCATCCACTTGCGGCTCATTCATCTGCTCCCGCGCTCGTTCATCTCACCCTCTCTCCCAGTTCTTGTGCCCCTTGCCCCCACCCCCATGCAGTGGCAGTCCCTCTGGGACCAGGACAGGCAGATGAGGCCCTAGCCCCTTAGGAGGCCCTTGTTAGCACCTGTGTGACAACACTGAGAGTCATCTGTGCCAGTTACTGTGGACCCTCCATAGGGCCACGTCTAGCTCCCCATTGGGGATTGGAGCTAACCTGTGGCTGCTTTTTCCAGGCAGCAGGCCCCAGCCTGGCGCCTGCCTTGGCTGTGTGCCCGGGCATGCCCCTGCCCTTTTCTGGGCCTCCCATTCCCCATTGGCCCCAAAGGGAGGTTGTAACTAATGATACCTCAAGGCAAGGCTCCTAGTGAGCTGGGGCCCAGACCTTATCTCTGGGCTTGGAGGACCCTGCCATGACTGCTGCTGGTGTCCCTGCAGATGTGAACGAGTGTAAAGCCAAGCGCTGCAGCCAGGAGTGTGCCAACATCTATGGCTCCTACCAGTGCTACTGCCGCCAAGGCTACCAGCTGGCCGAGGACGGGCACACCTGCACAGGTACTTCTCCTCTGCCCAGGGGCCCCCTTCCAGAGGCACCCCTTCCCTGTGTGCCAGGCTCTCAGAGAGTCACTCCCTGGCTGGGGACACACACAGTCTTTAGCATCAGATCTGAGTTGGAGTCCAGCCCTGGAAATTCCTGGCTGTGTGACTTTGGGCAAATCACATTCCCACTCAGACCTGAGGCTCCTCCTCTGTAAAATGGGGATAATGGTCCTGACCTCAGCGGGATGAAGGATTAGGTTAAACATCATGTGGGAGAATGCCTGGTCGCTCAACCAGCACCTGACTGGCCCTCGGCTGATGGCAGTAATTATGCAGCAGCCCCAAGGAGCGAGGACTGTAATGGGAGTCCTGTTTTGCTGTGTGGCCTTGGGTAAATCTTCCACTCTGAGTCCTCTTGTCCTCATTGTAAAGTGGGTCCCCAAGCTCGATGGCTGTGACAGGGATGGGCTGTCAGTGGCTGGGCCCTGTGAGTGGACAGGTTCACCAGGGGCCATACCTTTCTCTGGCAGACATCGACGAGTGCGCTCAGGGCGCTGGTATCCTCTGCATCTTCCGCTGTCTCAACGTGCCAGGGAGCTACCAGTGTGCATGCCCGGAGCAGGGCTATACCATGATGGCCAACGGGAGGTCTTGCAAGGGTGAGCAGGGGCCCCTTCCTGCCCGGGGCTTGGGCAGATTCCAGGCAGGCACAGAAAAATGCACACGGCTTCTGTGCACTTGGAACTCCAACACCAAAAGCATAAGCCTGGTGTCCACATTAACTGAGGTCTGTCCCTGGGATGAGGAAGGTGACAGTCTTCCTGCTGCTCAGTTCAGCTGAGAATCTTCCAGGCTTGGGCTCAGCTCTGGGAGCAGGACAAGGATACTGTGGGGTGGTTCTAAGGAGGCAGGAGACCTGTCCAGTGAGGATGCTGGAGAAGAGCAGCCTTGGGAGTCCAGTCATTGTCCCCAAGTCTCTTCGGTTCTACCCAGGGACAGAAGGAGCAGGCAGATCCATGGACCAGAGGGTAGGTGGGATCCCCAGGGGTAAAGAAATGGGTCACAAGGAGGCTTATCCCAGCCCAGTGTAGAAAGATATTCTCCTGGTCAGATCTGTGCAGAGTTGGAGAGGGATGCACGGGGGGAGGAGCCCCCGATACTGGAGGTGTGCAAGCCGGAGCTGGGCAGTCACCTGGCAAATTTGCAATAGAAGGCACTATGCCCTTGGATGGGACCAGGTTCTGTAACATTTAGTGTTCTTTCTGAGCTGGAGAGTCATGATTCAGTTCAGTGCCATCTGCCCCAAATTCTGGGCCTGGAGAGCCAGCAGGGCAAGGTGGAGGGGCAGGACACAAGAATGGCACCTGCATCACCCCAGGGGACCACCCACTCAGCGCCCCAGAGCTCAGACCGCCTGCTCTCTTCCTGGCTTCAGGGGCCACGTCCTCCCCAGATGGTGGAGCTGAGAGCCTGGACTTCCCTGTGTTGCAACCTTCAGGGTATGACCAGCATATTAGTCCAGCCTTGAGCGTCATCTTGGTCCACAGAGGCAGGTCCTCGTGTTCCTGGGGGAGCAGGGCTTAGAGTTAGCACCCAGAAGGGTGTGGAGTTAGACCAGCATGGTGCCTGCTGGTTGTTGCTACCTGTAAATGGATCCTGAGATTGAGCTAGTAGATCTCACCCAGATGTGTGTGTTTTCTTTTTGATTAGCGTGGAACAGGATGCATGCTAGGTCAGGTGGAGAGGCACTGCATGGAGCAGATCACAGTGCATTGTGCCCATGATGCTTGTTCCAGTCCTTACGTGTGTACTTAGTCCCAGTGCAAAAGGATTCCTAAGTAATTGTAATAAGTTAAGTCAAAAAGCCCTGAGCAGGACCATGTCAGTCACTGGGAGGCCTGCTGGGCTCACAGAAGCTCACCTGGGTCTCCCTGGCTGCAAAGTCCTCTGCTTTTTAATCTAAAAGAAGAAGAAGAAAAAAAGAATTAGTGTAGAATCCCTAAAATGTAAGGATTTTACCTGCAGTAAGCTCAGCTGGGCAGGATATATGCAATTTCATGTGTGACAACAAGCCCCTGTTCTACCTGGTAGCAGAATACAAGCGTGGCCACTTCCAGGAAAGCTCTGTCAGACACTGCAGTGACACTTGCTGTTGGACCACTGCATGTTGAAAACCTGTCTGCGTTCAGGACAGTCTCTCCTTCCTACCCTGTGCCCCAGCCCACGCCAAGCACTAGGTCTTGAGGGACGCTTAGACATCTCTGTGTGGTGTGCTGGCCACCAGAGGGGGCTCCCTGGGGCCTGGCACATGCTGCTGAGGGCTGCTTTGGGCACCTGACCCCTGGAGCTTCTCTCCTGCTCAGGCTTCCTCACCCCTCGCTCTCTGCAGCCTCTTCCTGGGGTGGCTGCCCCTCTGCCCCCTCACAGCCTACCCCGAGATGCAGGAGAACTGGCGAGGCACAGGCCCCTTTCTACAGTCCCCATTGTGTTGCCAGCCCCCTACCTGCACATCTGATGCTCTTGCTTTCTCCTTCTGGAAGAGTCTTCTGGGTTGTTATGGGGTGGATGAGGGCAAAGCAGGCGATGCGGGTCCGCCTGGTCTTGCTCGCTTCCCAGGTCACTTCACGTACCTGGCGTCTGCAGACACCAACCTGCACAGCTAGGAGGGTGTCAACCTTGCCCTCTCTGGTCCTGTTCTGACTCGGGCCAAACACTAAGGTCTCTCAGCTCAAGTGGGAGGACAGGAGGCTGGCCATGGGGGAAAAGAATATGCTGGCTAATATCTGCATTAGCATCCTGCCCCTCCTCAATAGCAAAGAGAAGGACAGAAAAATGTGAAGGAATTCAGACACAGCCATCTCTCCTAGCAGATGTGCTCCATAGAGGTGGGGCTGTGTCTGCCTCATCTATCAGCACCTAGAGCAGTGCCCAGCACACAGCAGGGGCTCGCTGAACATTTGACCATGCGACTGAATGGAGGGACAGCTACTGCTAATCTTTGCATGTATTGCCTTCCAGTCTTACCTTATGCAAATATATATATATATGCATATACATGCAGTGTGTATATATACCTAAAATATTAGTTAAGACCATGCTGAAAATAATCTTGAGCCTACTTTTTTTTTTTTTTTAGTGTCAGCCCCATAAACATGCCACTCAATAAGGACCTGGTAGCTTTAGCAGTACTCTGAGTCTTACCATTAACTTGTCGTGAGCATCTTCTCAGGTCCTCCAGAAGCCCCTGGAATCCTCTCTTCCGGGGGCTGCATTCTGTAGTGTTCCTCTTTCTGTATTTTTGCTTTGTCCCCCACTTCTACACATCTGGTCGTGGCTGATGCCTGGCCATCTCTGATGAGGCTGAGATGACACCCCTGGACGTAGGGCCTTGTCCCCCTCCCACATTAGCCTGAGCTCTCCATGAGAGGTGCAGGGTTGAGGGCGCCTACTCACCTGGAGCCTGGCAGCACCAATGGGTGGAACCCTGGGTTGTAGAGAAGTCCTGTAACAGCTTCCTGTGAGCTTGGTGAGGCCTGGCTGTAGCTACTGGCCCCTCATGGCCCTTCCCACTGCTCTGAGTACCTCCACAGGTACCAGCCAGGGCAGAAGCAGCAAGAAGCAAGCTCCCACCTCCTTCCTAGCCCACCCACGGCCAGCTCCAGGGTCACCAGAGCAGGCTGCCCATGGCATAGGCTGAGGAACAGGAGGTTCTCTCTTCATGCGGATTCAATTAGTGAATAGTCAGCAGGACAATGACCATGCCCAGCTTGGGCCCCACCCTGCTGTGGCCTCTTGCCATGCTTTCTACCACTCGTCTTTGTGCCACCCTGGGAAATTGGGGTCGTGACCCATTTTACAGAGGGGGAAGTGGGGCCTGGAGAGTTGAGCAAATGTGAGCTGACCCCCTGACGGAGTGCCCAGTGGCCAACAGCCCAGAGAACGGGGTGAGCTGACAGTTGAGCCCTGGGCCTGCCCCGCTGCAGCTGTGTGACCCTGGGCACATCTGTGGGTTCCAGGGATACTGGTACCTGCCTCGTGGGGTTGTTTTGAGTGCAGAGAGCCTCGAACATTCAGGGATGCCAGGCAGTAAACTTGGTGCAGGCTGGCTGTTATTATTACTACTGAGTTGTTAGGAGACAACTTGGTATCATCAGGCAGACCTGGCTTGCTGTCTCGCTGACCAGTGTGGCCTTGAGCAAGGTTGTGCCCCTCTGTGAGCCTCAGTCCCCTCTGCCCAAGGCTGGTGACCTTCACCGTACAGGGCTGGTGTGAGGATTTAATGAGGAGAAATCCCTAAATGGCATCAGTGTGGAGGATTAGAGAACAAAAGTGAAAGCCCTCCAGGGCTGCTCTGGAACTCCCCCCCCTCCACCCCCCGCTCCCTCAGCTCAGGGAATAGCCCCTGGGGCCTTCTGAGACTGTCCTCTCTAAGCTGAGAGGCTGATCCTTGAAGAAAGAGTCTCTAGGACACATTAACTTGATCTTTTGTCTTCCCTGTTACTTGTAGATTACACACATACACATACACACACACACACACACACACACACACATGCAGGTAACTATCCATACATCTGTCTGCCTGCGAGTGCTTGTGTGTTTCCATGTCCTGAATGGGCCCTCTGTGTGTGTGTGTGTTTCTATTCACTTGTGTGACTGTGCTTGAGCATGTGCGTGCCTGGCCCATGTGCCTGTTGGAGCAGGCACATGCGTGTCTGTTCCTGTGAGTGTGTGCAGGAAGTACGAGTACATCTCTGCAGTGGGGGCGTTTGTAGCTGTGCGTTTCAGCATCTGCACCATTGATGGGTCTTGCACTTCTGTCCAGAGGTGCGTGCTGAGCACCTCCTCTGTGCAGGTACTGTGCTGGGTGCCAGGGACCCCACAGAAGGTGAAAGACAAATACTCCTGCCCTCCTAGAGCCAAGGTTGAGGAGGGGAGGGTGGAGATGGAACAGCTGTGCAAAACAGCCTAGCTGTGTTCTGGACCTGACAAGCAGTGTAAGGATGATAAGTGAGGTGGGATGGAGGGCAGCGGGGGACAGGGACCACTGAGGGTAGTCAGGGAGGCCATCCTGGAGGAGGTGACCCCAGATCTGAGATCTAAAAGATGAGAAGCCAGCCATGGGAAGATGTAGGGAAGTGTTCAGCTGCAGCAACAGCATGTGCAAAGGCTCTGGGTGGCATAGGGTAAGGGTCAGGCTGTTGTGGCAGCCCAGAGGTGTCCCGCAGGACTGTAGCCTGTGAGGAAAGGGGTGGGGCTCAGAGAAGCCCTGCTTCGTAGGGATTGGCATCCACGGGAGGGACTTAGGTTTTTTATTCCGGGAGCATGAGAAGTTATCAGAGGACAAGACATAACGTGATTTACATTTAAAAGCAAGGCCCCAGCTTCTGGGTGCAGAGCAGGCGAGATGTGGCATGTGGTGCAGGGTGGCATGTGAGCTGTATCCTCACAGTCAGGAGAGCTGCTCTGAGGCCCAGGCCTGCAGTGTGGGCTGGGGTGGCTCAGGCTGGGCACTCCTCCCATCACTCCTCCTCCCCTCCCCCAGACCTGGACGAGTGTGCACTGGGCACCCACAACTGCTCCGAGGCCGAGACCTGCCATAACATCCAGGGTAGCTTCCGTTGCCTGCGCTTCGAGTGTCCTCCAAACTATGTCCGAGTCTCCAAAACGTAAGTGCCAGCCCCCCCCACCCAGCCATGGACCCATGCTGCCCAGGGGAGAGGCTAAGTGACGGTGACCCCTGCCTTGACCACCTCCTGCTCTTCACAGCCCCTGACTGCTGGGTCTGTGCTCTTCTTGACCAAAAGCAAATAAATGCCTTGCAGAAAGCTCAGAGTATAGAGAACGAAGAGAAGACAACACCCAGAAAATCTCACGTCTCTGCCTCTCTCTCATGCAAAACAAAACATACTAGTTGTCCATTGTCATGTAATGAATTATCCCAACATTTAGTACCTCAATACAACACACATTTATAATCTCATGCAGTTTCTGTGGGTCAGGAGCCTAGGAGCAGCTTAGCTGGGGGTTCTCGCTCAGGGTCTCCTGAGGCTGCGTTCAGGCTGTTGGCGAGGCTGCCTCATCTGACGGCTCGACTGGCTGCAGCACTTGCCACCCACTCACGTGGCTCTGGGCAGGGGCCTCAGCTCCTCCCCACCTGGGCCTCTCCATGGGGCTGCTTGTGACATGACATGCCCCAGCATATGTTATCAGGAGAGCAAGCAACAGTCCTCTAACCTAACTTGGTCTTGGAAGTGATAGATTGTCATGTCTGCCACTGGCCACACAGTCCAGCACTGCCGTAGGGACCTTAGGAGGAGTCCACACAAGCTGTGGCTGCAAGTGGGTGGGACCCTGGGTGTACTGGGAGGAAGGGAGGCGTGGGTGAATGAGAGCTGCTGACAGACCCAGCAGGCACTGTGCTGAGCGCTGCCTATCCTCCCAATAAAACCATGAGGCTGTTATTAACCCATCTCACAGATGAGGAAACTGAGGCCCAGACATGTAAGATGGCATACCTGAGGCTGCCAGGCCACCAAGGGTAGAGCTGGCCCTTGGGCCCTGCCCGGGATGGGTGGGAGCGAGCCTGGCCTGCTGACCTAGTGCCTGTCCCCCACAGGAAATGTGAGCGCACCACGTGCCATGACTTCGTGGAGTGCCAGAACTCGCCGGCGCGCATCACGCACTACCAGCTCAACTTCCAGACCGGCCTCCTGGTGCCGGCGCACATCTTCCGCATCGGCCCCGCGCCGGCCTTCGCAGGCGACACCATCGCCCTGACCATCGTCAAGGGCAATGAGGAGGGCTACTTCGGCACGCGCCGGCTCAACGCCTACACGGGCATCGTCTACCTGCAGCGGGCGGTGCTGGAGCCACGGGACTTCGCCCTGGACGTGGAGATGAAGCTCTGGCGGCAGGGCTCTGTCACCACCTTCCTGGCCAAGATGCACATCTTCTTCACCACCTTTGCCCTGTGAGGCCCCCGCCTGCCCTGCAGGCCTGCCCTGCTCCCCGACAAGCGCACCTCCTTGTGTGGTCGCCCAGCACTGCATGGGTGGGGCTGGGCAATTATTGGGGTGGTTTTTACTATAACTTTGTAAATTAACTTAATTTTGCTGACTTGATTCCTCTTGGGTGTCTGGGCCTCTCCTATGCCCCACGGGAGGGAGCTTGGCAGCAGGAGGTATGTTCTCACACAGGCACTGAGGTGAAGCTCGAGCGCAGGTCACGGTCACTGCAGGTGGCCTGTAGGTGAAGGACCAGAGGCTGGACGATGACCTGCAGACTGGAAACACAGTGACACATTGCGGCTTCTAGTCTCAACTTGACCCCGTCCCCAGAGTTGACATTCCATTTCATGTTCCACTGTGACTAATTCTTTACTTTTAAAAAAAAATCATTTTTAAGTTTTTTGTTTAATTATAAACGTAGTACATGTACACTGTAAAAAAAAATTCAAATCGTACAAATGGGTTATAAAGTAAAAAAGTAAAACGCCTCTCGGTCCCCTTACTTCTGTACCATGTTTGAATTTGGATGAGGGTGTGTGAATGTCACAGGGTTCCCCAGCCTGGCCAGTGTGTCGGATTGCTGATCAAGACCTTTCTAGGTGTCTCACTCAAATAATTAGGGAGCTCACCTTGGGAGCAAGGGATGTGCAGTGTAGCAGCTCCGCGATCCTGTGGTCCCCTTTTTCTACCTCTGCTCCTCTGCCTGTCTTCTCCCCTCTTCCCTCCTCCTCCTTCCCAAATGTAGACCTCAGCCTCTGGTTTGTCGCTTTGGATGTCATCCAGACTCCAGGACTGGACCCTGCTGCTGGGGCCTGAGGACTCAGGTCAGCAGTGGACTCGCGCAGGAACCAGAAGGATGCGGGAGTTCGGCTTTTCCAGAATTCAGTGTAGGTTTCTGGCACCCCGAGGCTGGGGCAAAGGAAGAGGCTATGAGAAATAGGGAGCCCAAGGCCCTGAGACAGGAAGGGACGTGTTCACAGGTCACAGTGAGCGTCAGAGCGGGTGTCAGACGCAGGTCTGAGGACCCATGCATGCACGTTTGCCTCTGCCCTGGGCGTCCTCTGAGCCAGTGCATTTCTTCCTGCAAGCAGTCTGTCACTCTCTGGTCTTGAATTAAATGTGGTGGGTGGCAGCGAGCATTTAAAAATGAAGTAGGAGAGAGAAGACTGTGCGAGTGCTTCACACCTGGTGCAGAGACTTGTGTCACCTAGCACCAGTGTGTGTGTCTGGTGTGTGCACGTGCACGTGGGCATGGCCACTCTGGCTTGTGATAGAAAGTATGTTTCTTCCTGTGAGTGGCAGTCAAAGTAGAGAAGCAGGTCAGGGTGTCCTGGCCTGCTGCGGAGTGTGACCTTGTGCAGAGGCGGCGGCGACGTCGGCTCCAGCAACCGCACCTTCTGGGAGCACGGGCCCTGGTATGGCCGGTGTTCTTGTTCTTCAGGACAAGCTCCCAAACTACATTTTGATGTAAGATTTCCCCATTTTAAGAGGTGGTAGTTAAAACTTTTGCAAAACAGGTGTGAACCCACTGAAGCCCATTGCCGCAAGCCTGTGGTGGGGCCCGCTGTCTCCTGGCCTTTGTCCCTTCCCTGCTCCTCACTGGCCCTGTCCCCAAAGGTGTACAGCAGAAGCCAGGACTTCCTCGTCATTGTCACTGTCCCAACTGTCCATGTTCCTTCTCTTTCCCTGATTTTCAGAGAACCCAGAGCTGGCCACTTTGTTGTACATGGTCATCTACCAGGCAGGGACCAGCAGGCTGTGGATGGGTGGGTTAGGGACACTGGTGGGGATGGCACGTGCTGCCAGAAGCTGTCCTGCTCCTGCATGGTCCCGATTCTTCCCTCTGCTCCTGGGCTACTCCCTGTGTGTCCCTGACCTGGGCTTCCCTTGCATCACCTGTGAATGGGGACACCAGCAGTTCTTCTGGTGCACAGCTGCCGAGCTGGTAAAAGGAGCAGCATGTATAAATCATCTGGCTTGGTGCCCTGCACACCTTTAGACTCTCGGAGAACGATTTTCTTCTGACCTTAGAGTGTCTACTGTTCAGAGGTTCTAGAATTCCATGCTTGCAAGTTTGGCAAACTACAGATTAAGGAAACGGTCCCTACAAGAGCACCCTCACTTCAGATGCCAACACACAAACTCAGGGATCCCCCATCCTCACATCCAGCCAGCTGGCTACAAATCTGGGGACATCTGACCACCTTCAAGTTTGTTAATTCACTTCAATGACTCAGGAAAGCGCTGTCCGTACAATTACAGTTTTATTGTAATGAAATCACCTGAGGGCTCTGAGGCATAGGGCAGAGTCCAGGAGGCTCCAAACACAGAGCTGCTGTGTCCTCTGGTACACATGCCACCCTCAGTATGGATGAGTGACAGGATGCCAGCGTGGCCGACCTTTAGTCCCTGGTCCCTACCAGAGGTTGGAACTAATAGAGCTTGTCCCAAATCCTCCAGGAAACAAAAGACACTGCTGTCAGGTAGGACATTCTGGGGGCAAGAGCTCACTTTGCAGGCCACCCCCTGGCCTCTGGTTTTCCTACAGCACAATGGTCATATTTGTCTGAACATCTACATTTAGTGTGATTTGTTTCCTCCCTTGATCCTCTATTTGTACCTTATGATAAAGTCGTGCAGAACTATTTAGCATCGACATTAGCTGATGATGAGCTAAATCCAGTTCTTTCGCAGACTGGTCGTTTCGCATGGGTATCACATCCTGAAGGCTGTAACTCAGTTTTCCAATACCCTTGGTCATCAGCGTCAGAGTCACAACCTCACCAACAATGCCAGTGTGATGCCACATTGCAGTATGGTAGACGTAACCCGAAAAAAAGACTAGAGTCCCACGTGGTCACTGGCAATGAGTCCGTCCACCATCGTGGTGTATGACCAGACGTCTTCCAGGGTGAGGCTGCTTAGGGTTGCAGGCTTCCATTCGACCTTGTCAGGTGCCCAAAGCAGACGTGGTTTTGGCTTCACCCATTCAGGCGTCTGGCATGGCTGAGCAATGAGACATTGTCCAGGCCTCTCGTAAGGTGTTGCTGTGATATTGGACCCGTGTGAACTGGATCTCCATCACAACCCATTTTTTCATTCCTTTACCATCAGCTACTGTTTCTTGTTCTCTTCATTTATACCCCCAACTTTCTACCTTTGGAAGGGACACTGGGCCCAGCCACTGTGCTGGTCTAGATCACAGGTAACAATTCTATTCTAGCAAGTGCCTCCCCCTCAGTCCACTCCTATTCAGATAGGGTGGGGTCACATAAGTGCAGAGCTAGGGGGCTGTTTCAGCCACTAGGGAATATAGCTACGTTCACTGTCAGCCCTGGTTTTGCCAGACGGGGTGAAGTCACCATACATCCTATCAGGCCCTTAGGAGTTTGACCCAAGGGTTAGAGGTATGATTGCAGCTTCTTGCTTAGGAATCACTCCTGCCTCCAGCGCCTACAGTCACAGCCCTGCCCTGGGACCACTGCATCGGACAGGAAAAGAGAAAGCTGAGGTGATATGGGAAAAAAGGAAAAAGTATAGTCAAACCAGCAGACCCATCTTCCTCCCCAGTTCACCTAGAAAAGGCAGAGGAATCTATTTAGTGTGGTGGAGGGCCAGGCCTCCCTGGGTCCTCCTCATGCTGAGTGTGAGCACACACTCGTGCAGGTGTGCAGGCCAGCTCTCCAGGCCTCCATCTCTCCTCTTCCCCACTCCACCCCCTCTTAGAAAACCAATGTTTCAATTGTCCATTCTGATTCTCCACCCAACCATTACTCTCAGGATGCTCTCTGCCCGTTGTTGGACATTGCGGGGCTGTAAAGTGTGTTCCCTGGTGTGGAGAAATGTGACCTGGCAGTCTATATTGGTGCAGCATCTCCTGTTCCCATACTTTTACAGCATGCTGAACATTTGCATCTTTTGCCGGGTAGGCAAATCTCAGTTTAGAGTCAGCGTCTCCTCCTGGGATTTCCATATTTAGTCCATCTTGCCGGCAATATTCAGGGCCTTCCCCCTTGGGGAATCTACCCCATAGCCATCTGCAGTCTCTGTTTCTCTTGCTGGCAGACGGAACAGTTCTGGTTGAACTGTGCCTCAGAGTGCAAGAGGAGCACAGTTAGATCCAGCCCAGCTCTGCATTGCTGCAGTCCCCAATGTCCACTCATTTCATGGGCCCAGGCGGCCACCGCAAGTGAGCACACCGATGTCTGTACTTGCTGATTCCAATGACTTTCTGATCCTGGAAGGGGATTCTTCTGATGGGCATCAACATGTCCTAGGTACCTCTTTGCATTTCCTTGGTGGCATATTCCTGCACAAACTGTTTCCGTTTTCTTATGGAGCTCTTCCGGGCCCTCCCCATTAGAATGTTTATCCAACATCGCCCAAAATGTTACGTGTATTTCAGATTTCAAGATTATTTTATGGCCTTCAGTCATAAGGGTGGTCTCAATCAAAATCTACTAATTGACTCTCAAATGGAAAATTCTGATCCCTAATCCAAGTGGTCACCCCTGGGTGGCAGTAACAGGCTTTTGCCATAAACCCCAGTCTGTGAAAGAACTCCAGGGCTTCTTTTGAGTCATTTTATGGATAGGAGCTAGCAGTATTCCTGGGTGTGGAGTATGTGCCCTCCAAAATCTAAGCACACTGACCTAAATCTAAGATGCTGGTCTTCAATCAATCAATATTGCCTGAAGGGCAGACTTACGTGTCTTCTGTTTCACCATGCTAGGTGGGAGAAGCGTTCCCCACTGAGATGCAACATCCGTCCCCAGTCATACACTCAGGTAAAGGAAAGGCGACCACTTCACACAGAGTTCATTCAAACACTCCAGTTTTCATCTAATGTTACCATCCCGTTTCTGAACCCTCCCAGTCTAACCATAGCCCCGTTAGGACTTTACCAACAGAAGACTTTACTGGAGAAGGAGTCCCAGAGGAATCTCTTCCCCATCCCCGGACATTCTAACTCTCCTGTGTGTATGGCTTTGGGTCCCCAGCTGGGGCTGGGCCAGGGACCTAGACCTTCTCTCAGGCCTGCTCTTGGTTCAATTGGAGGCTGTTGCCTCAGGCAACTCGAGAGCAGATTTCTCATTGTCATCGAGGCCGTCTGGCTTTTCAAGTTCCTTCAGACTAGATGGATAAGGCAGATTCGTTTAGGGCCTTTCAGTGCTGGAGACCAGCAGGGGCTTGCATCAGTCAGCCCAGCTTCCGAGAACTGCATCAAGACCTTTGTTCTGACCCCACCATGCCTACTTTATCCATCCCATTTAAAAAGTATCTGTTTAAGGGTTTCCATCCTACTCGCCTGTCTCTCCCTTTGTTTTATGCACTCTCTCTTGAAGCTTTCACTGCCTGTGCTCTCAGCATAATTTTCCCTTGGGAGGAGGCTCAGAGGCCACTAGCGCACCTGGGGCTGTCCGGAGTCTGTCCTGGTTCA